TAAGTTATATCTACAGGAAGGTCGCAAAAAAAAAAAAGAAGGAAAGAAGTAACAGAACAGCTAAAAATTCATTTGTAAGACAAACTGCTGCTAAGTCTTCACTCTACGTAGCACCGGACGCATTTTATTTGTTGATGAAACTTGTGCGTTGCATTTTCCGTGGATGAATTGGATAAGGAGGAGCTCCCGAAGCAACGGTACTGTAGATTGTGTCCTGGACTTTACTTTTCCTTCCAGTTTAGAGAATAAACTGACAGCAATAGCGTGAACTTGCTGATTAGTAACTACATATAAGATTTTCTTTACAAGAAAAACAACCACAGTGAACCCAGCGCCCGGGGTTTTTTAACCAATTCAATATTTTGATTGACAGTTGTATGACTACCTATGACCTTGGCGAACACGTGGTGTTGCTCGTAGTTTCCTTCGGTCTGTCAAAAACACATTCAATTTAAGTCTATTCAAACGTACTTTTGTACTTCAGGTAAGATGAAAATCGACCATGAGCTGACATGAGCTATCAATCACGAGCTTTATGTTCGATCTTACAGCTAGTTCTGCGTGGAAAATATTCCGTAAGACTCAACTCTAATTCTGTTCGCTACGATTTTACCGATTGTAATATGGAGACCCAAGCATACGACCTTGTTTGTACAGAGAACAGAGATTTTCTCTACGAAAGAGAAGGTATGCCTGGTATAAATCCAAATTTTGTATACATGAATCAAGAGGTTCACACTTTGAAAATGGCGAGTGAAACAAGAATCGTTCCAGACACGGACAAGAGAGCTGCTCCGAAAAAACCTAGGAAAAGAAATTCAGACAAAGATAGACTGAGGACAGAAGCAGAACAGACAGCATATAAGAAACTTAAAGAGATTATTCCGTCCCTAAAAGATCAAAGGAGGACGACAAAATTACAGACAGTCAGAGAGGCCGTTGTGTATATTCAGAAACTCCAAGAGACCTTGACTGGAATCCCCCGGATCAGAGCGAAAGATGGCAAACATTAAGCAAGGTTCAAGTTTAAAATATTTCTTTAACAACTTTGTAAACAAAGTTAAATCATTAAGATTATTTGATATTTGTAAAGCAATTATCCTATTAATGGTGTAAAGTTGTAATATGCATGTTATTCTTTGAGTGACCTTCAGTTACCCTCAGATGTCCGTAAGTTTATGTTGCGCCAACACGCATTAACAATTTAACCAGGGAAAAAGACTTTTGAGTTCAAAGCGAAGTTAAAAGGGCATGGTTCTTACTCAGTCAGTACTTACTTAAAAATTACTTTGTACACGGATTACCACAACACAAGCTAAAAGCAGATATACATAGTCTTTAGAGTTGACAGGAGTTACTCCTAACGCAATATGTTGGAAAAAATGTTAACGTGTGAAAATCAAAGAGATTCCGCAAAACGAGGATGGGAACGGCGGACTGCAAACGGCGGACTGAGAATGGTGGACGGAACAACAAAATTAAAATAAAAAATAAAGTATCAAAAATGACGTCATTATAAGCAGAAACATCTTCGCATCACTGTTAGAAATTTGTTGGGAAAGTTCGGAAAGAGTTGAAAAAGTGATCTAAATTTTATACTCCGCACACTCAAGTACTTAATTCTGCATCTGTCTATGCATACAAACTTTCCAAACTTTTTCAGACTGATTTCTAGCAGAAATCCCGAAGACGTTTCAACTTATGGTGACCTAGTTTTAAATAATTCATCTCTGATGTTGTCTCTGTTTTCCACCGTCCGCCATCCGCTGTCCTCGTTCGATAAACTTGTAAACGGTTTGTCAGTACTTATAACTTTATTCCAAATTTTTTTCTATTTTTCCCTTCTTGTGCTGCGGTTTTCCCATTGGCAGAAAGCATTCTTCAAGTAGATTTTCCACGAGAGTGGCATTTTCGAGAAGATTTACTAACAAAATACTTTATCTAATTTAGTTTCAATTCTTAATTCTAGTAAAGTGACCTTGCGTGACATCCAACAAATTTAGTAGGGGCGGCTTTAATTTCCCAGCTTATTCCAGTTTAATTGCATTCACATTTTTCCTAAAAATGGGCAAACTCAAAGCCAAGTTGGCTTTAAGAATCATAGCTATTAAATGCTTTGTTTTTCAAACAGAACGGTGTGTGCTGTTCAGTAGTTCTGTATATCCTTGTACACTACAGTGGTAAACCTTTCCCGTTTGTTGACTCTATATCAAAAAGATCTTAAAAGGCTTTTGGTGGAAATTCTAAATAACAGTAACAGCCAACGAAAGATATCCTTTAAAAATCATCAGTTTTGTAGAGCATCCTAACGTCAAAAAAAATTGAACAAAATCTATTTTACCAACTTGCCCCACCCATACTTACAGATCGCCATTCATTCAATGAAGAGTGACAAGGTATGTTGCGTGACAACAGCTTTCCATAAATTTGTATGCAGCACCACAAACTCTCCTTCCATTACGAGTTTTCAACAACAGTGCCAAATTCGAAATGAATATTCCTCATGAGTTAAACTTTCTGTTTTAAGGTGTTATAAGTTTTCTGTTACAAGCTTCAAAGAAGTTAAATTAGATTATTTATTTAATAGTTTAAATAAGCACAAATTTATTGTCTTGCCAACTAAAGATAATTGAAAAAAAAAACGAGATACATGAGAGTTCATGCATTTTTATCTGAAACTCATCGTTCGCTTACAAACGTCTCGCAAACTTTGAAGAAGCTTTACTGCTTACTTCAAGTAAGCTTCATGCTAAATAGACGTCAGTTGAAATTATACGTTTTCTCTGTTATCGCTACAATCAAAAGCAACAGGATGTCATACGAACTATTTTTAAGTTGTTCAATACTTACGGATTTAATTAGAAGAAAGGGAAACAACAGTTCAGCACAACTGCGTCTTCTATCTTGGTTGCATCCTTTAAAAGAGTAATGGCAGAATTCATTGCGAAACTTTCATGGTGTTTAAAAGCAACCCGAGAACAAGTCATTTATACCACCACTAAACGACATGAGAAGTGCAGGGAATAAGAAGGAACGCACATACCTTGTTTTAGCAGTCGCTTAAAGATCATCTCAACATGAGGCCGGAAAGGGAGCGTGAATGAAAGAAAACGCTAGCTGCGAGGATTCCTTCCCAGTGTGCACTTGAAGATATCGCTCCGAGATTATTATTCGGAATACATTATTATTCGGAATATATTATTATTCGGAAGTACCGAATAATAACACAACGGTGTGTTGCTCAGTTCAGTTGCTGTGCTGACTCCCTCCATCCCTCAGGTTGGCGCCAATAGTAATAATAATTTCCCACGGTCGCCTTTTGAAAAAAATTTTGAAAGAACTTGATCGAAAACCGTTGTTCAATCGAATGTTCTGGTAATCCTTACATCCTGGTCTCATAAAAGGAACGAAGTTTTAGACGAGCTCTCAGAGAATTCCAAAAAGTGCGCTATTTTAAGACTTGTGTATGCACGTGGCTTACTGAGCTCTTTCCTAAATGGCTTGTCCAACTGCACGGGCTTTTAGTGCGCATTATTCATTAGAAAGCACATTTTTCCGTGGTAAACTCAAACGATGGAATTAAAACAGAAGCAAGTATTGATTATGTATGGATACTTGGGAACCCTGAATACCTACGATCAGTGGCTAATCGATTTAATATTACAAAATCGATTTTATTTCGTGTTTATCGCAGAATTTGTGGAGCGATTGCCAACAATCTTTCCGGTCAATATATGAAGTACCTACTTGTTTGAAATTCAGCGCCGCTGGGAAAAATGATTAATTTCGGATCCTTCGCCCAAAGGAACGCGTTGGATCAGTGGTCCAATGATCCGTCTTTAGATCACGCAGATCAGTGATCCGATGAATCCTTGTCCAGGGTGGATTTGATAGATCACTGATCTGAAAATGGATTTGCTCGAAAGGAACGCCACAGATCAGAAATCCTGATGTGCACCCTTGACAGAAGTAAGGGTGCACAGAAATCTAGTTACACACATGACTACATCTCTCTTCCATTCCCCTACCTTTCTCTTCCTTTCTCCCACTTCACTTTACGGCCACTCACCTCTTGAGTCGACGGGATGAAACAATGCTTACAATTTCTTCTAAACTAGTTTCTTCATGTTAGCGCCATCTTTTAACAGTCATGTTTGCATGACGAAACTCTTATTTTTTTTAATTCACTTCCTGAATTTATCCATCTTAAATAAACCTCTGAAACGAATAAATAAAATTTTCAGGAAAGTAGCACTTTGTTTAATAAGTGTTCTGTACTTGTGGATACAAGGCATTTCAAAACGAACAAATGTTGCATGTATCTGTCGCTGAGTAAAATTTCACAGACTAAGATAAATACAAATTTTTTTTTGGTCGGTCTTTGTCTCTTGAATTGAGCAACCATCAATTTAAACAATAGTCTTCAAATTAACCTTTTGTCTGACCTCCGATCAGCCAATCACAGTCCATTATCATTGACACCACATTGAAATATTATTATAAATTATTCAACTGTGTGCGGGTGAATACCAGTGAAGGCTTGAAGGCGCTATGGAGATGCACTCTACCATCAGTCATTATCATTTATCAGGAAAAAACAAGAAAATATATTCAAATAGAGGACTTTCTTCACAGGTTGGGCAGACACTTGGCTCTTTCGACTGGTTTGTTAGAAAAAGAGGTCTGTGATTCTTGCCTTTAGATATCGGAACGGGTTTTTTTCTGTTCGTGTTTACCGTCGATAAAATCCTCATCGTTTTTATTCACTACTGCTCATAAACCACGAGACGATTCAGAAAATCTTAAAGAGAAGCTTAATGTGGATGGGATTTACATCGACGGCGGCAAAAACTCTTAGGAATTATATTAGCGCTGACCCAACCATTTTCTGAGGATCAGCCCCGACAGCTCTGCGAAAAGCGATGCAAATTACGCCCAAAGAAAGAACACCAAGTACAGTAACTCCATAATGGAAGATCACTATAGACGAAACGTGCATCATGGCCTTTGATCATCGACAAAAATCTCTGCCTACTTCGAACCATGCGAATACTGCTCATTTTTATTCGAACCACAAAACTTTGAACAATGCACCGAACGCTCCCAGGCATCTTCAACACGCCGCACATAATCAAAATTTTCAGGCACCACCTCTATATTATCATTACACAGACAGTAGTAGCTACGGCCCACGATTTGGACTCATACGAGGGTACCACAAATATTTGTACGACCCGAGACCTCAGCAGGAGCCTTGTTGCGAATGTGCCCCTTCACGCGCAAGGAAAACACAATCGCCAGACGGCTGCAACTGGGGTGTTGCGTTTGGCTGTATTTTACTAATCATTGGAGTCCTAGCAATTCTTATGGGATTTTTGGTTCCGCAGAAACCCTCCATAGCTAGAAACACACATTTAACATCGGAAGAAAGACATGAATTGAGCCAAATTAATCTCTTCATAGACGTTTTTGTGATAACAGGACTTGCAGTCCTCTCGATGGGGGGTTTGCTCATTTCTGTTGCCTTGCTGCTGCCTTTACTGAGACGAAGGACCGAACCTTTCCACGACGAGCCGATTAAATACTTCGGCAGCGAGGTTTATGTGAAGTCCGAACAATTGCCGATGTCAAAGTCGGGGATGCCGACAATAAACTTAGGATTTCACAAGGATATTGTGCCTGGAAACGTCGCTCTGCGTAAAATTCAACCAGAAAGTGTGAAAAGCGAACCTGTCGACTTAATTACCCAGACAAATTCCCCATAACTCAGAAAAGGAATTTTGTTAGACATAAAATCTGAATGATTAATACAATCGTTTTATTTACTTATGAGTTTTGATTACTTTTACATGCCCTATCCAAGAATACAAATCAGTCAAACAGGGACGAGGCATTGCGGGTCTATTTAGCTTAAGCATATAACTTCATGGGATTGGCGCCAGTGCAGTCAGCTTCCGTATTACAGAAAGTTACGATGAGACTTAACTTAGAGAGGACACGATCGTGAAATTTTAACTGGTGGAGCATAAGAAATCAAACAACCCAGACATCGAAAGATGTGGAGACCAAAAGACAGTATTTTATCATTCACTGTTCAAAGGTTACAAGTTAAATGAATTTTTCCTTAAAAAGGAACTAGACTGTTGAACACTTTTTGAGGCTGCGCCTCGAATGGTCTTTACTACATTTGACGTCATCTGTTATCTATAGTAGAACCCCGCTAACTCGAACTCCCAAGGGAAACAAAAAATGGTTCGAACTACCGAGGGTTCGAGTTAGCTGATAGTAAATGACTGAAAAAATGGGTCAAGAGCAACCGGATCGATCTGAGTTGGCGGGGTTCCACTGTATAACTGAACAAACGGATAGTAACATGGTATCTATTTGACAAAAAGTATTTAATACAATAAAACCATACGACCGTAAATCCCTATTAGCGCGAGGCACACTGACAGGAGTCGGTTACAGTTCACTGTGACACGATAAGGTACACTATAACCACCTGACCGACACTAAACGGCGTTGTCCATTGTGAATTGTTTTCTTGCGCTTGACAATTTTAACGGTTTGATTGATCGATTGGTTTCCTTATACAAATCAACGTTAAGCCACAAAGGTATTCCTTGTTTTTTTAGTCTAAAAATTGTTCAGGTGCAAAAAGGGCGCAATTTTATGGTTAAAATGAGCTCACCAGCCTCTTTTGGCCTATTGGCAATAACAGTGATGACTCCGTACTTATTTGCTAGACAACCACATTTACAAAACGAAATGACTGTAAGATTTCATGCCTTCCATTGGACTCAGTGCTGAACCATATTGTGAATTTCTGACAAATCGGTCCACACGATTCAGTGGAGAGACTTAATCAATAAATGCACATTCCTTGAAACAAAATGACAACAAATTTTTTTAGCTCACCTCAGAGCATAATTGATTGGTAAGCTAATCGTCAGTAACTGGGTTCTCACATTAGAATGAGTAAATTTTTTTTTCACATATGAGGAAAAAGTTATATTAAGAGATTAATGGTTGTTTCCAAGAGATCCCTATTTTCTCTTGTTGAAAAACTATTACAGTAAATTCGATTTGCAGCAGTCATTTCATTGATTGATTGATTCCTTTTCATCATGGTTTGCGCATCTTAAAGATTCAGTTTAGGAGTTTTCGAGTTTCATTGCTATCATTTAAATTTTTCTCCATAAGTAACAACCCTTTTACTTAATTTTCTGATTGATGCCTTCCTCTTCCAAATCCAGCTTTCCACTTCCCATGGGGCTGTTCGAATCGATGGCCTTTTCGACTGGCAACACTTCCTGAAAGATGAACAGCGCAGTATAAATTATGAAAACCAAGGTGCAATTAAAAAGGATAAAATTTTTCTCTTATCAAGCAAAATGGCAACCTTTTTACACAAATTTACGAGGCACAGTTATTGCCTTTTATACTAAACTGAACTAAAGCTTGACATGCGTAACTGTGTTTCAGCAGCGTCTAAACTTAACTTTAATTTTTGATGGTCTGCTCGCAATCTCGAGAAAAGAAGAGAGAGGGAATTTTTAGATACAGATGGGGCGCGAATAAAAGACGTTTCTTATTCATACTGATTCATAAAGAATGTTGATATTCAAATCAGGTAACTTGAGTTATAAATGTTGAAGTTCTGACCCACAAAGTAAGTTTTGAAATATAAGCTATAAATCAGAAAACGTTTCCAAGTCAACAAAGGGTGCTTTTAAGGCACCTCTGCGGTGTCATTGGAAATCTCCTACCAAGGTTAGACAAAAGCTACATTTGCAATGCTGCTTCGTATGGATTAATTAACTAGTTAAAAAATCAAACACTGTCAAAACACTATATTTACGTACTTGGGAATTCAGTCTCGGGGAACTTCTCTGGATACCGGTTTAGAAATTCTCGAAGTTGGTCTTTGTTTCCCATCTTGTCAATGGTCAGATTCAGTAATTTTCCCATTAACAGTCCCTCCTGCATTACTTTTATCGCCCGCTCTACGTAATTCATCTTCTCGAGCAAGAGGGCCAGTGAAGTCTTTATAGAGACTTTCCAAGTATGGTCCTCTTCTAACTCTCGTTCAGCAATTTGCTCTGCTTTCGAGAGAAGATTCATTGCCTCGTCAAAGTTTTCACTTTTCATGTGACAAACTCCAAAATTCTTTAGCGTCAAGATGCTCTCTTTGCTTCCACCCACTCCTAGGACGTCGAACATTTCCAAAGCAGCTTCATAATAATAAAGACAGATTTCAAAGTCGACTTCGGACTTTGCAGCAAGAAAGAAGTAAAGGTCTCCAGTGGCCTTTAGGGTTTCGGCAGTCATAAAATGTTTCTCAAGGCTCTTTTGAAAGAGTTCCAACGCTTCTTTGAACAGTTTTTTGGCCGCATCGAACTGCTTGCAGCGCTTTGAAATAATTCCTGAAAGGAGGAGAGTCGCTGCTCTTTCCGGATGATCATGAAGCTGTTCACCAGATATTTTCAAAGCCATTGCAGTCTCCTCTTCAATCCGTTTGTTCTCTTTAATGTCTTTTTTATATGAAAGGAAGCGAGCATTGCTGTTGTGAAAATAGACTTCTGATAGCGGTTTTGTCGCGAATGCAGCGTCACTCACCAAACGAATTTGTTCCGCTCTATCCATGACTTCTTTGTACTTATCTTGTTCTCCTTTTTTCCTGTATTCATGACCAACAAGACACAAAAGATCTACTACATACACTGGTTGGATTCCAGAGTCAAATGTTTTCAATAATCTTTCAAGGATCTCAGTGTAGAACCTTGGATGAAGACATCTTTCCAAATACATGCATTTCTGCGGAAGACTGTCCAGAAAGAGTTCACAGCCATTCACGATCTCTGGATCTTGTTCTTCCCTACCTCGAGCGTAAATTTGAAGAAAATATTCGAAGTTGTACTTGTCTTCTTGAAATGATACAAGGGAATCCTTGCAGGTGTTCTTACCCCAGTAACTATCGGCATTATTCGCAAGGCGCAACATGAAGTGTACACAAGCCAGTTTTTCGCCCATTGCCAAAAGTTTGTCATACTTGTCTCGACCAATCTTCTTTGCATATGACTGAATGAGCGGATGCATCTGATATCTGCGGAAATAAGGCTTCTCCACAAGAGATCTATTTTTTAATGAGCGCAGGATGGAGATAGGCAAAGCTCCGGAGATTGAACATTCCGCCTTCGTCACAGCTTGGACTGCATCTATATCAAATGGACCTTGGAACAAAGATAGGAGAATGAAAGTCTCTTGTTCGGGTTTCTTCAAAAGGTCAAACGAAGTCTTGATGGCCTTTTCAACAGATCTTTGGTCGTCCTCTAAAACCGCTAATGGTTCCTTTTCAAGGCTTTCTATGAGCGTTTCTTCAGAATAGTCTGATAGCAAGGATCCAACGATGCAAAGTGCTAGAGGGACGCAGCCACATAGATTTTTGGCGATGTAATCTGCCCTGGAAAGGTTCTGCGGAGCATCTCCATAGACTTTCACCCTAGAAATGAGGAGATTTCTTGCCTGTTCGGCGGACAAAGGGCCCAATCTGACTTCGCAAGACTGCAGGTCGGGATTCTCAAATGTTTTCCTTGCAGTTATGACAAATGCCACCTTTTGCCTCGATAACTTTCTTACGTCAGATAAGATGCTTATAAATGATTCTCGATCGCTCGACTCGAGGACGCTATCTGCATTGTCAAGAACAAACGTGACCTGGTTTTGGACTCGTTTGCTCCAGTCTCTTAACCACTGCCCCGGATTCTCTGGTACTTGCGTGCTGTTTGTACTACAAGAATTGATCATTTCTACCGCCACTTCGTTGAAATTTGTCTTCGTTAGTAAACCACAAAATAGCACAGTCCCTTCCTTCTCTGATTTTGCCAATTCATGAGCCACTCTTTTAGCCACAGTCGTCTTTCCAAATCCAGGTCCACCAGTAACCAGGACAACAGCGATGTCCCCACCCTCAGCCATTTTCTTGACACGCTCTATTTCTTGGTTGCGGCCAAATACGCATTCTTCTGGTATTCTGTCCGGTAGACAGCTTCGGGTGCTGAAAATCGTCGTGTCAATCTTTTCTTGTTCCCGCACCTTTTCCCATATCTTAGCTTGTTCTTCCAGGCGCCGCTGGACATCGTGATCAATGGGATCTTTCTTCAGCGCCTCAATTTTCTCTGCATATTTCTTTCTCTGGACACTCATTTCAAGTGCCTCTAAAGAAGACGCAATCTTGTTCCACTTGTCCTCGTATTCAGTGTTTGTGATTCCTGTAGAGACGCTGTGGCACAGCTCATTTCTAAAGCATTTTATTCGGACAAGGTTTGCCTCCAGGCTATTATCATCGTCTGCAGGCATGTTGTGCCATCCAGTTGAAGGGGCCGTAAGATGGCAAATTTCGCGAAGCAAGAGATGTAAAAATGTAATATCGAACGTTTCCGAGTCCGGTGGGTCGCCGGAGTTAGGAAATAACATTTCCCACTGGTTTTCAGATATTACATGTTTCCTCTTCAGCCTTAGAAGCTTTGCCTCATTCTTTTTCAATATGCCCTGCAATTTATCCGGTGGGTAAACAGAATGTAAAAAATTGCGTAGGACGTGTGTTCCTCCATCAAACAGAAGTCGTATTAGTTTTGTGCCATTCGTTTTCGCCTCTGATACGTCGTAAACAGTACTCATGTTCTCTGCTTTCTCAACCGTGACTCTTCGGAAAATTTTGCTTGCAAAGTATTTGGAGACGTTTCCTGTCAGTGGGCTGATGACGGCTATGCTAACGTGCTGGACTGACGAATCGGTGAGATTTAAGTCGACGAAAACGCCTTCTGAACTCTAAGAAAAGAGGTTGCAATAAATCACTTTCTAGTTTCCTGAATTACTCATTAAAATACTATATTAAATGTGCATCTGCCTCAGTCATAACAATTGAGCTGTTTTTAAGTTTCTCGTCAGAACCCTTTCCAGTCCCCTTTAATCTTAAGATAATTGTTCCACAGCCTCTAAGTTCATCAAACCTCACCGAACTGATTTTGTGTGATACCACAGTTAGAGCGCGTTCAAAAAAGAGCTTTCTCTATTATAAGCTCAGGCCGAGACTATCACGAGATTTTAGAGGCTGCCGGCATTCCACCGATCATGGCTTATATGGAAGACAGCTGCCGCAATCTCTTTAGCAACATTATCGAAAACGACAATCACAGGCTTCGTGAATTGTTGCCTAGTGCCAACCATCCAAAGCACAATTTAAGACGTAACAGGCGTTTCGAAATCCCCCGGTGGAGGACAAACCGTTTTAAAAACACCTTCATGATGGCCTCCACCATTAAATATAACAACAACAGTTAATTAACGATCGTTTCCTAGAAACCTATGTAGATAATGTAAATATAGCTTTTAATTATAGATAGGTTTTAGCTCATAGATTTTTTAATTGTTTATAATTTTGAATATTCTTATATACGTTATATAATATATTTATTTAATTACATTATTGTAATATACGCAATTCAGCCGCAAGGCTGCTAGGTATATTTAAATAAACTATCTATCTATCTATCTATGGAGTTGAATTTAATTCCGCGCGACGCAAACGATTAAGGCAAAGTTTGTAATGAAACATCTCTAATGAAGAGCTGGTCACGCAAAGATTGCCACAATAGCATAAAACTCTTTCACATCTTTATGTTTACGGTTTTATGATGATGAAATATCTTTATATGGAATATTTTTAGCCATAAGTTGAGCTATTTCAATCATGCATAAAAGTTGTATTTTGTTTTCGGTAAAATTTCCGCACAGCTCCATACTATTTTAAAACAAATCTGTTTTCCCAATGGCATACTGTTATGTTTTTGCCATTGTTTTCTCTATCCAAGAACCGAATGCATAATGTAGGACGGGGCTGTGCGGAAATTTTACCTTGTTTTCTTCAAACTCAAGGAATTCGCGTGGTTTTCTCTGAAAATCATACAAGCATTACAGTGTGATTTCATTTAAACTCATCAAGAATGTATTCTTCGAATGAGTTATAATTGTTAAGTGTTCGCCTGAGAATATCTTAAGGTGCCCACGCAGCATAATTCTTACGCCTAACGAGGTAAAATTTTTTTCCGCATCCGCTTACGAAATAGCCAATGTTTTACAGTGTCGATTCAAGACGAGAACAAAATCAAATAGACAAGCATTCAAATGTTTTGTTTTATCAGCTAAAAGCGAAACAGGCGTTTTTCAAGTGAATTAAGTATTATCAACTAAGTTCAGGCGATACCGTGAATTAACCACTGTAACTTTGAAGAGTTTAAAGGCCGACGTTCCGAGTATTAACCCTTCGTCAGAGCGAATGGCGAAGGGCTGACGCTTGAAACGTCAGCTTTGAAACTCTTTACGGTGGCCAATTTACGTTATCAACTCAGTTGATAATACTAAATTACCCTGTTATACTCTCCCACCGACGCAGCACCACAGTTTCTTTAGAAACTTACCCCCTTTACTCGTTTTCCATGTGAGATTGAATTACTTCCTACGAATGAGCCTCGGTACTTCTCATTAGTAAGGTAATATTTTGTTCTGTTAGTTATTCAGCTAGTGTGGTACCGTATACTCTGATACATCACTCACCTCAACGTTGGTGAACCTCCATTTCAGTTAATGGGGCACGCTACGCACACGCTTGGAGTAGACAAGGTCTCATCCACTGAAGTGATTTGATAGCAATGAAATCGAAAAGCCTTTTCACAGCTACTCATCAACGACACGCCAGCATTCTGAGAAACAGGGAATATTGATTAGTTCCCTGATTTCCGCGAAATACAACACTAGAGCAAATTTGCATATGTCTTTCGTAACCAGTCGTTGTAGACCGCCTAGAGGGTCGGAGGGTAATTTTTTCTGCGGGGGGAGGGGGGGAGGGGATCACATGGTTTTTACGAGATAGGAGGGGGAATTGAGTATAATGGAGGGACTTAGGGAAATTGACTGCCGATTGACAGCAAACGAGAGAGGTCATGGGCACGACTAAAATCCTACGACACCCCACCCCCTCCCACGGCCATAAATAATGACCGGTCTCATAGGTGTTTTTCACGGTTGGAGATTCAAGATTTTTTTTATGTCCAATTAGTAAACGACATCATTAACAAAATTTTTGTTTCACTTGTCAGTACTGCTCATTCCCTTGGGAATTTGAGGTTATTAAGCAAAGCTGACGCAAAGCTGACGCAAAGAACATACCGAGAAAGCTTGAAGAGCAGACCATCGTAAAATGTTTATTTCTAACAAACCAACATGGTTAATTGCATCAAAGTTCTTAGCCAGAAAATTGTTATGCCAAGTTCTCAGACGTGACTAATTAAATTTCCATGAGACATTATTTATTTCAGAAGATTGGCTGCGACCTCTCGCACTTCAAGTCCAAAGCCAAATAAGAATGCGGAGTGCAAATAATTGAGACTATTTATTTGATTGATAAAAAAAGCCAATTTCTTTTGAGAGTAGAAAGTATTTCATAATGCAAATAGCATTGATCATGAAAATATCCCGAGTTAAAGACGTTAACGAGCCTTCTCAGAATTAAAATAAACGGCATGATGAATTTGCTTAAGAAACACAGGGGTTATCTTTACATTGTGATATGTATGCACTCTAATCAAATTTAGTTATCGAGGAGGCACATGAAGAGAACTTTGTCTTTTCTTGGCATCGATCCCATATGGAAGGACATAACAGATATCGATTCCTTTCCTTGTCAGCGACTGTTTTGCTCCATTTGCCCTTCCAACCTGGGGTCTAGGAAGGATAGCCGACCCTAATTAAATGAATTAATTGCAGGATGGTGCTGCTCTTACTTATAAGCTCCAAAAAGATTGACTAATCAAATAACAGAAATTAACTTTCTTTGAAATGAAAATGTTTGTCCATAAAAAGTATACAATATCTTATCGTCAGGCATGTGGCGGATTATTTAGAAATTGCGTTATTCTTCTGCGGTGTTCTGTTAATACTGTCGTACACCAGCGCGATTTACTCAAGGAATCTGATCCCGAAAACTTTTTTTTTAAGGAAGATGAAAACATATTTGAAAAACATTAGAAGCTTTGGGAACCTGTCTAATGCCTTGTTAAAACGTTGGTTCCATATAGTCTCATATAAATAAATCTATAGCCAGAGACGTTAACCTTTACTAAAATTGTTATTGTAAATCCTGCCTGCTGTTCTTCTTTTTTCCTCTCATCTTCTTTTTCCTTTCTTCTTTCTTCTTTTCTCCTCCTGAAAATTGAAGACACCGCGGTAGATATCAGGAATTACAACAGCGCAGGAGGACACGCCTGCCTCAAATCAATTCAACGCGCCCCACAGCAGTAGAGCTCTTTATTCGTTGTTGTTTCGAGTTACCGAGGAAATATTATTTTGAAAATATCCGCAAGGAAAACGGAAACTGGTTCGAGTTATTGAGAGACTTGAGATATCGAGGATGAAATAATAGTAACTATATGACGGAGGTCTTTGGCAAATCAGTTTTGGTTCGAGTAGGCCTGGGCTAGGTTTGAGTCATAGGAAGCCCTGTATTAACTACTACCTTGGATACTTTACTTACTTGGAAATTCCGTCTCAGGGAACTCATCTGGATAACGGTTGATAAACAATCGTATCGGGTCTTTGTTTCTCATCTTTTCTATTGGCAAGTCTAGTTTTTTGGCCATCGACAGTCCTTCAAGCATCATTTCTTTCGCTTTATCCTTGTTTCCTATCTCGTCATGTAAGATGGCCCATAAAGTCTTGATTCCGACCTTCCATTCGTGATTCTCTTCTAATTCTCTCTCGGCAACTTGTTCTGCCTTTGTGAATAAAGCCATCGCCTCATCAAAGTTTCCTCTTCTCTGGTGACAAGCTGCGCAATTCTTTAAAGTCAGGATGCTTTCTTTGCTTCCACCCTCGACAAGATCGTCGAACATTTCTATGGCTGCGTTATAATACTCGAGGCAAAATTTTAAGTCGTCGTCCTCTTTTGTTTCTCCACCAAGAAAAAAAAACTGAGAGTCCGCAATGGCTTTCAGGGCATTGGCTGTCATAAAATGTTTACCAAGGCTCTTTTGAAAGACTTGTAACGCCTTTGTTAGCTGTTCTTTAGCTGTATCACGCTCCTTGCGGCGCTTGGCATTGATTCCCGAAAAAAGAAGAGTTGCTGCTGTTTCCGGATGAAGTTCACCCAAACTTGTACTGACTTCTAGAGCTAATTGAGTCTCGTGATCAATTCTTTGGTTTTCTTTAGGATCTTTTTTATCGGAAAGGAAGCGTGCATAATTGTTGTGAAAGTAAACTTCTGATAACGGATTTTCTTTAAACTTTGCAGCATTCAGGAGATAAATTTCTTCCGCTCTCTGCATAAGTTCGCTGTACTTCTTTTGGTCTTTCTTCCTATATTCATTTCCAAGAAGACACGAAAGTTCTACAACATGTATTGGCTTAACAGTTGAGTCAAATGTGTCCAGCAACTGCTCAAGAAACTGAGCATAATTCTTTGGATGAAGACACTTTTCCAAATACATGCACTTCTGCGGAAGACTTTCCAAAAGAGTTTGAGTTCGTTCCATAATTTCTGCATCCTTTTTCTCCTTTCCTTGGGCATAGATACGAAGAAAATGTTCGAAATTGTTTCTGTCCTTGTTAAATGAAAAAAGGGATTC